TCTACATCTTGGATGGCCTGAGGGTGAGCAAATTTTCATTTTGGGGTGAACTATTCCTCTGAGATACATGCAACTAGTTGAAACGAGTACAAATATATTTTTATGGCTTATAACTTCTGGAGAGAAATAGCACAGACACTGGATGAAACGTTCTAGTGTGCATGTGTCAGGCGCCTGTGTTCTCGCACTATTCAATGGAGTATACTTTGAAAGTATCCTAAATGCATATGCAAAGAGTTTGCATCAAAACTGAAGTATACTTTATCTTTACCCTTTTACCCAAAGTATATTTCAGTGTTGACATGAACACAAAGTTTCATCCAGTGTCTGCACAATTTTTCTCCAGAAGTCATAAGTGATAAAAATTTCTTTTTTTAAAACTAGAGTTGTGTTAAGATGTTGAGTCTTAACCACCTCACACAAGTGCTCGTCAGCATGGGTATCTATTTTTGTTGTGTCTCCAGTAGTTTGCTGTTGTTGTACAGTCTTCCTCCCTTGCCCCCTTGTGGATAAACCCCAGAAAACTCCTAGCAACACCCTCACAACCATAACAAACACACTAGCAACTGCATAGAAACAAGCTAACAATCAATCAGAAGATTTTAATGACCAGACAGCAACACATTTGATTTCTTCTGTGGAATACAAAATAAGATTTTTTTGAAGAAATGTTGGTAACCAAACCGTTTTTGTGACCATCTTTTTGTGCATTACACAGAAGAAAGTAAGTCAAACAGGTTTAGAATGTCATGAGGGTGAGTAAATGATGACAGCATTTCCTTTATTTTTCTTTGGTGAACTGTCCATTTAAGCCTGATATGCATTTGATTTCATACTGACCAACACATATCCAAAACGACTGAGTGTGTCCATGCAGAGCTCACTCCACTGGTCTGTGAAGAGAGCATCTTTGAGCCGCTTGTTTATCATAGAGTTTACTTCCTGCAGTCTAAAAAGAGAGAAAAGGACAGAAGCAGGAAAAAAAAGACAGATGAGAAAAGAATACCATTAAAACAAGGACAAACAGGACAAGAAGGACATGGAAATGAGAAAACGCACAAAGGATGCACAGGAAGTTTAATTAATTCAGCAATAACAATGGAAGGGATGTAAGAAAACTGAACAATGCGCCACACTCTTACCCAACAACGACCATGTCAGTGCTCCTATTTTCAACACCGGGTCCAAACAAGGAAGTGATGTCATCAGGTGGTATACCAGAGCCTACATTCCATGTGACAATATGAACTCTAAAAGGAATAAAGCATAATGTGCATTTCATGTAAATTTTAAAAGAAACTGCATTAAATACTTGCTATATTCTCCCTACATAGACAGCTGTCTTCTAAGGCAGCGTCCCAAATTAAATGATTTGAAACACTTTTAGGCAGCAACTACACCGACACCACACAAACACTGCATACAAACAGTCTGAAATTAGCATGTTGATATGCTTATAATATTCAAATAACCAAAATAAATAAATAAAAACACATAGAACACACAATTATTAGGTTTCTCTCACTGTTACTCTTATATATGAGGATATATGTGATACTACACTAGGTTTTGAATCAGGGCTGTAGTTTCAAATTCATGGTCATATTCTCTTTTGCATTACATCATTGTAATATGAGTCATCAAAATGACTCAAATCAAAAAGCCTGGGATAAATGTCACCTGCTGTATTTAATAGCTTCCAAAACATGCGGAATGCTTTTAACTAATTAGAGCACATGCACGATGAGTAAACAGCATTAGGCATTATAAGGGTTCTGTCTATGTTATCAAAGATGACAGGCTAAAGGATCCGGGAGCACATTCGTGTGTCTAGGAATGCTGCCAGCTCAACGCTCCCGTGTCCATTCTGTCACCAGGCTCTGAGAGCGATATTATGCTGATTTAAGGGATGAGAAAATCTCAGCTCTGCTGGTACGCTTTCTTTAGGTTTATTATGCTGCCATGCCACTAGCTGATTTCTCAGCATGTGTTAACTCAACTCCACAATGAATTAATGACCCCAGCAACCCTCTGACCACCACATCTGACCAGTGAGCTTCTCCAAGAGTGGAAGAACTGAATATACTGTTCCGATTCAGAGTTTTTCATCAGTAAACGCAAAATCGCATATTTAAGATTTGAAATGTTGAGCCAGCTAATGGGATGCAGCCTTAAACCGACAGATTCTCTCCCCTCAGCTCGGTGGATATGAGCAAATCCAGCAGAAACCCAATGACTGGGTGACAAATCATATCATATCACTGGAACTGGGAAATATTAATACCACACTTACAAGAGTGAACGAATGAATCAGAATGAACTTTTAATAAACCAGTTGAATGAATAATTCAAATGACTCACTCATAAAGGCAGCCATTTGTTTTGTTCCTGAATGAGCTTACAATGGCTACAGTATAAATTCACAAGATGTGTCCCAGGGTGTCCTATACGTAATTTTAGGTTTCAGAAGGGTGCTCACAAGCTTCCTTTTGCGGCCACTATGTGCCCTTTAGTCACTGAGACAAGCTTCACAAGAGACCTCTAACTGACAGTCAAAGCACCATTATGTCATGCGATTGTGGGCTTAGAGGCTTAGGGTTCCTTTTGGGATAGGGCTAAAGACAGTCACATGTTGATGTTGTTACTGAATGAACAATTGTTTGAATGAATCAATTGAATGAACGACTCCATGACTCAGTCATGAAGACAGTCATTGTCACCACCTACTGGCATAACAATGCAAGCTACTGAAAGAGCAACTAAAAAAATTCTCAACAATTGAACAGACAAAAATTGAGAAGTCTCACACCGTGTCTACATAGGATGCGACAGTTGTCGCAGCGCGGCGCAGCTGCCAGTAACCGCTTGAGGTTGTCTACACTGGACACGACAAGCGAACATTGCAAATCATTTGAACTTTGTGTCAGTACGTGACAAATAGAACAAGGTATCATTTTACTGTCGGATTTGTTGTGTCGCATCACGCCGCATCCAGTGTAGACTGCATCACTGATTATAATGGGTTCTATAATATTTTGTGTCAGTGCTGTTGCACTTTTACATGAACACTTTTGGAAAGATGCTGGACCAGATTCAAGATACCAAACCTAACTGTTGTATAATTATCGACAAGGTAAATAACAGAAGTCTCACCTGAAATCACCCTCTTCACTAATGGTCTTGTTCAACTTCTTGTCAGTAGTAGTTTCTGGACTTGGAATCAGTTGAGGAAGGGGGTTAGACGGGGGGCTGGGGTTTGGGATAGGTCTGGCGATTAGGTTATTGTGTGTGTTAGCACGGATGGGCTGTGATGGAGGGCTTGGAAGAGTCGGGGAAATGGCTGGGGGGTTGAAACCAAGATGAGAAGTGGGGCTCAGTGGGTTTTGGGGGCTGCAATAAGGCAATGGTGATTCGGTTGGTGAGTGTGACAGGAAGTTGGGTGTTCCTGTAGCTTTAATCTGCAGTGGAGACTCAGTGGGTCTGGAGACTTTGATTGATGCCTTGGTGCCCAGTGCTGTAGGCCTGGGTCGACTGATGCAGTTGGAGTCTGGTCTGGTTCTCTCCTGAATGGCTGGGCTCGTCTGCAGTGCAGTCTGTCCCGAAACTGGTGGGTTTCCAGTCATGACTATATGGCAGTTTGAGGATGCGGGCACTTTGCAAGGGTTTCCAAGCAGGTCTGGGACTGGTGGTTTGTGGAGTCCTAGAACTCCAGTATGTTCCTTGGGCATTAGGCAGCTCTGAATGGGCTGCATTGGATCAATTTCCCTGCAAAGACAGTAGACAGCCATGAAGGTGTTTAAGGAATGTTCCAGGTTCAATGCAAGTTTTTTTTGCTCGTAGTCAACATGAAATGGGTCAATGAAAAAATTGTCCACATTAAAGAAAAATGAAAAATATTTTAAAAAATCCAATTTAAAAAAAAAAGTTCCAACTTCACTTTACATAGTTTTTAGGGTTGTCAAATCAATTAATTGCGATTAATTGCATCCAAAATAATAGTTTGTGTTTACATAATATATGTGTATGTACTGTATATATTAATACACATACATACATACATACATACATACATGTATATATTTAAGAAATATTTACATGTATATATATTCATATTTACGTAATTTATATTATATATAAATATATATTACATATATTTCTTAAATAT